GCCGCTTGCGTGAAAATGTCTAATTGCAACAGTACCTCGGGTGATAACAGTGCCGGATGTTCTGGGCAAACAACAGCTGGGCAAACAAGTCACGTTCTGTCTATCTTGCAATAAAATCGTCTTGGTCATCTCAAATGCACGCTTCTTTTTTTTTTCCCCCCCTGGTGTTTAACTAGTTGGGAAACGTTAAATGGTTGCCACTTCCCTAAGCGCAGGGAGAGGGATTTTCGCTGGGGCTTCCCACTTACTCTGTGGCATCTTTGAATGAAACAGGCTTGATTCATCTCACAGCGAATGTGCTGTTAAAATTTTTCCTGGGTTGCGTGTCACCCAGTGTTGGCTCCCAAATATCATCCCAAATTTGTGCCATGTCTCTAAAGGACAGCGTTTCAGTTGCCTTTTTACTGGTCCCTGTTTTATGCCAGAAAATCTCCTTATCTCTGGGTGATTTCCGAACGGATAAGAAAGTAGCTTGGGAGTTCACTTACTGTATCTTGCATTTAGGTGTAGCACTGAGCAGAATCAAGATGACTCAGTTGGTAGTAAGCCGTTTACTGATTTCGTCCTTCCAAATCCCTGTTGATAGTGACCAAAAACCGTGGCACGCGGAAGACGCGCTTGCTAGGGGATGCTTTCCTCTCTCTTCCTTCCTAAGGAAGATTTCCTATTTGTATTTCGGTGCAGAGAGGAAGATGGTTGCCGGTGCTGTGCAATTAGCTGCTGGAGGCCAGGACTGGCCTCTGGGTCTGGTTGTCCCAAGCAGCCATGTCCAGGCTTGCAGGCTCTGGGAGCAGTGCAGATAGGTGGCACGTAACGTGTCTGCTGGTAATCACGGGCCCAGGTACCTGAAGCACCTCTGGGGTTTTGGGGGCTCTTGGCGTCTCTACCTGCCGGTCCCGTGAAGGAGGACGTGGTTGCCTGGATGCACAAACACGAGCTGGTTTACGGCAGGCCCCGGCAATTGTTCACTTGCAGAAGTGCAAGCACGTGGTGGAGATTTAGGGTGTAACTATGGCAGTGGGGAGGAATGTGTGAAAAGAGTTTGGAGATGTCAGAGCGCCCGCTCGTGAGGAGAGGGCCACGTTAGCAGAGCTGTTGGCTAGCAGTAAACAGTCCTGGCACCCTTGTTTCAGGACTTGGCAGCAGCAGGAGTTGAACCGAGTCCAGCTTTACTCTCTACTGCCTGTTCAGTAAGTTGAGGACAAGGCAGATGATTAAGGAAATGTGGGGAAACTGCTACAGAAGCTTTTGGAAAGATAAGAGACTTTGGTCTCCATGTCTGACAGTCTGGCACTTCTCACTAGCATTGAATTCACATGCAAATCAAAGGCAACATCTACTCCCACAGGAAGCGTTATTAATGTACAGGCCTGCTTGCGAATCTCCGTGCTGATGAAGGTTGTGGGACTGACTTCACTCGCAGATTAATTTCCCTGTCTATCCTCGCTTGAGCGCCGTGCAGCATCGGCAGCCTCAGCAGGGCTCCCATGCCGGCGTCCGGTGGTGAGCTCCACGCAGGAGCAGTTGCTGCGTGGAACCAGAGAACGGGGTTAGAGGTATGGTGCTTGTCGGCTTGGATTAAATGGGATGTGCCGGCGTAATGAGGGCAGCTGTCCACCGGGCTTCAACCAACATCGGCAATTTAATTTCAAGAAGGCACTCCAAATGGGCTTGAAATACTTTGCATGTAAGAGGAAAGAGGGCTGGTGCTGCCCGGACAGAGCTAGCCATCTTTCTTCTACACATCCCATCGTGTGTAAGGAGCGCGGATCAGACTTTGAAATGGCAGGGGTAGGGCTTGGTCCAGGCTGGGAGGGGGGAAAGGGAAGTGGAGAAAGGCGAAGGGACTTGGGATCCCTAGGTTCACCATCCCACCAAGGATACAGTAGCTACTTGATGGAAATGTTCGGTAAGAAACAGATCTGAGCTATAAACAACCTTCCACATCTTAAACCCAAGCTTATCTGATGCTTAGCTTTTATTGCTGTCAGTTATTTATAAGTGGAAGAGCAAATCTTGAGAGAAGAGAGATGGGAAACGCCATTTCAAGCTGCAGTCCCCTGAGCTGTCAGCTTGCCACCATCTCACCCGTGCCTGCCTCTCCGTGTTTCTCCCATTGCTGTTTCTGTCCATCCTGGCTCCTTGTATCCGTGATGCTCCCTCCAGCCAACTTATTCATTACTCTCATTCTTTTTAATCCTTTCCTTCCCGCCCCCGCTCCACCCTCCCTGTTGGTCCCTCCCTCTCGCCATCGCTGGTCCCACCGGGTCTCAGCGCCAGGACAAGTGCCAGCCAGCCGTGGAGCAGGGTGGTGTAGATGCCACCTCGAGCGGAGAGCCTGCTCAAGGGTGGGTGTGCGGGGATGTGGGTGCTGTGCAGGTGGGACTGGAGCTCTGGCTCTGCTCCATCAGAGCCTTGCCATTGCGAGCCTGGCCCCGAGGGCAGAGACCCTCATCGGCGCGGGGTCAGCCGTGGTAGGGGCTCGTGGTGGCAGAGGCCACCTCGCCGGGCTGCACAGAGCTTTGTGGCCAGCTCGAGTAGAAAGCAGGCATTTCTTGCACAGCTACTTGTTCTGGGAATCTTCAAAAATTTCTGGCAGCCAATTTTAGTTGTGCAACCTCTTAGCTGCCAGAACGGATAGAATATGATCATATCACATGAAATGCATGCAGGGTCTGCTATAGCAACTGTATTTCAAAGAGACAACACATATGGTGACTGGTTCTTTTTGGAATAATATCTATAAGTTGATGATGTTTTATTCAAAAAGGCTGTAGCTTGAAAGGTTAGGGATGTTCTGATTGTTTAGTGTATGATTAAAGAAAGGCTTCTGTGGTTTTTTTGGCCTATTGAATCTAATTACTGGGAACTAAAATGATCATTTGATTGCACATTTACCTGGAATTATTCTTCTGCAGAGCCAGTCTTAATAATATATAATAATATGTTGCGCTTGTACTGTATAGCGCTTCTTGTCTGAGCAACTCAGAGTGCTTTACAAGTATTCATTAATTAAATAAGCCATACAACACCCCTGTTAAGTAGGTGAGTATTTGTTGCCCATCCCCTTAAGTCTTGTAGATTTTATTTCTGCTGCCTCTGCCCACCCTTGAAGATGCTTTAACAGCTAAATAAGCTAATTCAATAAAAATAACATTTTTTTTAACCATACTTAGCACTTTCTGCATAAAGGTTTCCTTTGTTGCATTGTATTAATTGGTAGGCTGTCAGGTCTTCTGGTTCTTGATGCTGCACCGAAAAAAGTTGTGTGCGTGGGAGCAGAGGTGCGTGCCCGCCCTGGTAGCGCGCCCGTGCCCGGCAGCTCCTCGCACCCCTCGCGGGGACATGGACCGTTTTAGAGATGCTGCGGGTGCGCTGAGCTCCGACCAGCTGGAAATGCAAAATCTGATTTTACCTTCATGGTACCAAGCTCTGTTGGAAATCGCATCCACCCTTAAAGAGTTTTTCTGATCCAGTGGAGACCTGTTATTAAATTTGAAAGGAGGGCTCGATGCCAGAGTGCAGCAAGGTCTCTCCTCCCCGCTTGCCCTGGCGTGCTGGCCGGCAGCGGTGGTTCTTCAGCCCGCTGGGCTGCTGAATGTCCCTTCGAAAGTAAAAAGATGGGTCTAGATCATAAAATAACAAGGTTTTACTGGGGGGTGGCGGATGCAAGTTTGCAGTCCTTGGTGTCAAACCTTTCCCGGCGGTTCTGCGCTGAGATGAAACACTTGGAGAAGCAAGTGAAACCCGAAGCGTATCTGACTCCTTAATTAAATAGGTATTAATTAAATCACTCAGAGAGCGTACACAGTAGGAGTGGGGAAGGCTTTTTCCCTCCCTTGTAGGCATCTTGCAAAGGGACTATTTTTCTTGTTTTACATTAATGAAGTCTTCAGCCTTCCTACTTTTCCACCTACACATGTACTGAACGTCTCCAAGGAGACCAAGAAAGCCCGAGTCCGGCGCTGGTGAATCCTCCGGGAGCAGCGGGGCTGGCTCTTGCCAGCGGAGCCTCAGCTGTGCCACAGCCCGCCTTGCAGGGATCATCCTTGCAGTCCCTTGGCTGGGGAGATGGGGGAGACCTGAGGCTGGGGCTTGCTCCTTGTCCTGCTTCCCCCCATGTTTTGTCTCCTCTTACTTTCTTTTCCTCCCCCGATGGAGAAATCGGGCCATGCAGAGGGGCTGGCTCCGGTATCCAGGGACGCTTTTCCCTTATTTTGCACGAAATTTTGCAATAATCCCTCACCACATGATGGTCTTCTCATGCTTTTGGGATCATGTCCCATGCCCCTCCGTGACGTGAAGCTGCACCGTCCCTTTGCTGCTCTGACCCCTCCCATCCGAGTCCCCACCGCTGGTCCGTCAGACGCTCTTAGTGATTCTGGGGGTGTCAGATGCTGTCCCTGCTTTTCATCGCATTCACTCCAGCTCCTCGCAGCTTCCTCAGCCTTTAGCACGGTACCTTGGGGCACCCAGCATGGCTCTGCCTGCTGCAGGCTCTCCTCTTCCTCCCACCGTAGCCTTCCAGAAAATTCCCTGGCTTTCTCTGGTGCTCAGGAGAGCAGACAGTGATATACGACTGCCCTCTTCTGTAAACCAGACCCGACCCACTGGAGAAGAGGAGCATGAAAGCCGTTAGCACACGAGTTTGCCTGGTAGCAAAGGAGGGTATGGCCTGCTCCAGGTGGGGGATGAAAATAACCGTACGGGGCTCACCACTGGGATCCTGCAGTTACTCAAGGTTCCCTGCAGGAGCTGAACATCAGCTGATGCTTTTCTTCTCCGTAGTCAAAATGGGAAATCGAGCGGTGGGCTATCACCCCATTGCGTGCAAGTGCTGAGTTGGGGTTTTTTGTGGAAGCCATTGCTTTCCTCGGTGGAGGTGCATCAGGAGTGGAGCGGTACCCCATGACCAAGGGGTGCCTTGACCCTATGCCGTGCTTGTAGCTCCCCACACCCTGTGTGCTGTAAACTCAGTTTTCAAACCTCTTTCCTCGCAGGCTCTCCAGGTGGCACGGCAGCTTCTACTGCAGCAGCAGCAGCAGCAACAGCAGCAGCAGCAGCAGCCAGAAAAAAGTCGAGGAATTAAGGCTCCG